GGAGGGAACCCGTTTTCATTAGGGACACTGGCCTCCAAAACTCAGGGTATTCTGTAAAACTAGATAGGATCCTCTTAACCTTGCGGATAATTCTTTGTAATAAATCTGCCTTTTTAAATGTGTCACACTGTGCTGTCTCCTGAATGGGCCTGACCAGGTCCAAGGTTTGGGGTGGGAGTATTATTATGTGGCATAGGATGGAACATCAGGAAGTATCAGAGCCAGTGCATAGGGTACTATCAAAGCTTCATGCCTTATTGGGCATTGGGGTCACCTGTGCCCCAACCCTCTGTGATCTCCCATCAGTCCAGAATTTTGCTGGGTCATTTGCTTGTTAGAGGTGAAGAGTCCATTTCATTTACCAATGACAGGAAGCCAGTATGGTTACCTGCCCCAGACAAATAGAGAAGCCACACAGCTGGGCCTGGACTTTTGTTTCTGGAGAAGTGGAGGTGAATGAGAGGTGAGTGGTGCCCACAGCCTGGGCACAGCTGGTCTGTTTCTGGTTAGAGCTGGCTGAACATTGACAGCTCCTGGAGAGAGAGCTTAGTATTCCCCTGGCCTGCCTGAGAATGTGGACACAGGGGTTTCAGGCATCTCCATTGGCCACACATCGGCACCTTCATGTCTCCCTTGAACAAAGTCCTCAGGAGGCTGGGATGTGGTGGCTGTAAACTTAGATACCAAGTCCCACTGTTCATGTGTGAACTCTGTCTCTGCCTTCTGAAGGCTGTAAAGTCTTGACCTCACCCTCTCATGGCCTTAGCCTCCTCATTTGTGTGTGCTGAAGGTCAGAGTTCAGTCTTCCTGTATTGATGGAGAAAGACTTTCAAGCTTGTGTGATAGGGTCAGTAGTGCTTGTCAATGGCCTGTGGTTCTAATTTGTTTTAGCCTATTTGGTGCTTGGTGCCCTCACATCTGGTGCTCGGTGACTGCTGCTTCCAGAGCTCTTTCTATGGTGGACCTATCTGTCTTGCCCATTCTGTCATCCTCTCTCTCTGGAGTGAAGATGAGTAAGTCACAGAGCCCAGTACCATAGACCGTGTTAGCCTCTGCCACTCACCAGCTATAGTTCTCAGTGAAGCCTCAAACCAGGCTTTTTGTGGTACTCCCAAGGTGGGGCTAGATGAACTGTGCTCTGGGCAGAACAACCCTAACAGTCTCCTCACACCCATCAGGCATCAGACAGACCTAGATCGATTTAGTGTTAGAAACCATGGGCACATTAAGAGTGGCTAGAGGGGTCTTTGTCCTGTGTCCCTTGAGATAACAGGACCCTGTTGGCTCCAGCAACAAGGACAAGACACCTCCAAACCTGTTTTCCAACCCACCCTCAGAACACAACTTCACAGCAGTGTAACACACCCATGTTCGTGGTAGAGCCCTTGGTTACTCGGACCTTCTGTGACAACATTGGGTGACTGCCGAATGAGTCTGTGGGGTGGGAGCATTGAAGCAATTTGCCCTGAAAAATGTGCCCGGCAAGTAGCTGAGACAAGGTTTAAAGATAGGTGTCTTCATTCCAGCCCCACTACAAGTGACAGGCCAGGGGATCTGGGGCAGAGTGCATGGAGTCCTTGCACACAGAATCATTATTTTGAGATCTTCCCACAGTTTTTGCTTTTTCCTTTTCCTGAAAAGGTAAAGTCTTCCACGTATTTCAGGTTGGCCCAGAACACGTGGTAATCCTTTTGCCTCAGCCCTAAGTCCTGGGGTTACAGACGTTTATTCCCATGCTTGCCTGGCTTCTGGATTGGAAATGTTTTAAAAAGTTTGTATGGGTACTTTACCCGTATGTATGTGTCTTAGGGTTTCTATTTCTGTGAAGAGACACCGTGACCACAGCATCTCTTATGAGGAAATCATTTAATTGGGGTGACTCATTTACAGTTTCAGAGATTCAGTCCATTATCATCCTGCATGGTGGCATGCAGGCAGATGTGGTGCTGGAGCTGAGAGTGCCACATCTTACAGGCAACAGGAAGTCAACTGAGACACTGGGAAGTATCCTGAGTATAGGAAACCTCAAAGCCCACCCCACAGTGACACACTTCCTCCAACCAGGCCGTGCTCACTCTGTCAAAGCCATACTTCCTAATAGTGCTGCTCCCTATGAGACTATGGGGGCCAATTACGTTCAAACTATGTAAGAGCACGGAGTGAATGTCTGGTGCCTAGAGACCAGAAGAAGTAGCTGGGGCTGGAGAGATGGCTCAGAGGTTAAGAGCACTGACTGCTCTTCCTGGGGTCCTGAGTTCAACTCCCAGCAACCACATGGTGGCTCACAACCACCTATAATGAGATCTGGTGCCCTCTGCTGGCCTGCAGGCATACATGCAGGCAGAACACTGTATACATAATAAATAAATAAATCTTAAAAAAAAAAAGAAGTAGCTGGATCCCCTGAAAATGGACTTAGAGATGGTTGTAAGCTGCCATATTCGTGCTGGGAATTGAACTCCAGCCTTTTGGAATAGGGGGCCAAAGCTCTTAACCACTGAGCTATTTCGTCAGCCCCTGGTTTAATATTTTTAAAAGAATTGCATTTGAGGCCTGGGGAGATGGCTCAGTTGGTAAAGTGCTTGCTATGCAACCATGAAGATGGTGTTTGATTTTCAGAACCCATATAAAAAAGTGGGGTGTGGTGGTGTGAGCTGGTAATCCACTGGGGAGACAAGACAAGTGAGTTGATGGGGCGTGCCGGCTGGCCAGCCTAGATGAGTTGGTGAACTCCAGGTTCAGTGGGTAAAGTGCCTCCTATATAAGCTTAAGGACCTGAGTCCTCATCCACAAAAAGCCAGATCTGAACATCCATAGTCCCAGGTTCATGTCAAAATGGCCAGAAGCTTATGGACAGACAGCAGGGAACCCTGTCTCAAACAAGGACCAATACCCAAGATTGCTTCACACACAGACCCCTCCCTGCCCTGAACAAAAAGGATGATTTAAGCCATACACTGAGGCCCATTGTTCCTGCCCTTAGAGGCTCGGGAATGGAAGGCTCTATCTAGTCTCTTCCACAAACCACGGATGTCAGTTATCAGAAAGCTGTCTTGCTCCTGGCTTTGCTTGGAGTAATTTTGTTTACTGAGAGGCCCAGGCCTCTGCCTTCCCAGGCAGACAAGCAGGTGTGAACCAAAAGTCACAGATGCCACATCTAGGGCACCAAGATCATCTGTCGTCAGTGCCTTCCAACTCCCCCATCTTCAGATTTTCTTGCCATGGTTCTGTTTTGCAACCATGCTACCTGGCTCCAGCACCTTGGCTGAGAACTCTCCCAAGTTCTGGGCCAGGAGCCAGGAACCAGGAAGAAACTTTGAGAAACTGGGAAGCCCTTATCTCAATCCTACTCCCACGGCCAGTGGAGGATAATCAGACTGAAGTTTCTAGAACTTTGGTCCCGGTGACAAGCCTCTCCTCTCAGAGGGCCTTCCCAAGTCTCCTTGCTCTGGACTCTTCTGCAGCAACCTCTAAGATGGTATCTCTGAAGGGGTCTCCACCCAGAACAGCACTGACTATAGCAACACAGACTATAGTAACACCAAATGGAAGTCCATCTTCCAGATCTGCATGGAGGTCATGGTACTCCAGCCTGAGGCCTCTGGGAGCCACCCCCATATCCCTAGGACACTCAGCAGATGGGGCAGAGGCCTCCCACCCTTAGCCACACCAATGTGCCAAACATGAAGCAGGCTCCTGTTGGGGCTTCAGATGAGATGGCAACGGCCAAGGGCCACCTTCCATAGCCCCACAAGGCATCTTAGGCTGGGAGAACACAGCTCAGTGCTTCTGGACTCCCTGACTTCAGAAATGGTGTGATACACGGCAAGGTTATCAGGGGTGTTTGGACTGCTACATTGGAATGTGATTCAAAGGCAGAGGGAAGAGATAGCTTGTCCTAGCAATGGCTTTGTGACTCACGAACCATAGTCTGGAAAGTTCCATTGAAAAGCCTTTCATTTGTCCCCATCTGTTTCCCTGCCTTGGCTTCTAGTTATCTAGCAACTGTATCTACCCAGCCAACAGGTTCTGGCTGTGTGTCTGTGGCCTCTCTCAACTAGAACCTTGGATAGGATCCACTGCAGGCATTGTCACATGGGACTGTAAGAAATAATGGTGTTTTCCAAAGGGCCTTGAGCCACCTCAGGTCCAGTAAAAAATGAATAAAATCTCTGGACCCCAAAGCTAGTCCATTGTAGGCCCTTGTGTCCATTTCCTGACTTACCAAGGCAATGGCAAAGGGCCTCTGAGGAAGCTCAGTTTCAAGTCCCAGTTCCCATCATTTTTGTTTTGTTTTGTTATTTTGTGAGACAGGATATCACAAAGCCCAGGCTTGCTATGTAGCTCCTGCCTCTACCATCCAAGTGCTGGAATGAAGGTACAAGTACTCAGCACCATGCTGGTTTATGTGGTTCTCATGCTGGAACCCAGGGCCTCAGCATGCTAAGCAAGCACTCTAAGTTACACTGGCTGGCCACACCCTTCTGGAATGCTGTGTGTGGAGCATCAACTCCATCACGCGGTACTGTGGTTCCAGACAAGGTACTGGGATGCACTCCCACATGACAAATGTACCAGGTTCTTTCTCTGACATCGCCTTGAACCTGCCCAAAGCCCTGGATTCCTCCTTCCCCTCTAAGTGGAGCATCCCTTTTCATCTCCCATCATGCACTGGGTCACCAACCCAGGGCCCAGGGCTGAGGGCAGCGCCTCTACAGGAGGTCTCTGTGTCTGACTTTTGTATCCCTTACCATCCCAGATGGAGACCTTGGTTTGTTCACCCTGAGGTCTCACAGCAGGACAGACATTTAGAAGGTTACACAACCCCAAATAAGAATGAACTCAGGGACAGCGAGGAACAAGTATAAACCCAGAAGCTTCTCTCACAAGGTCATTTCAAGCAGGGACTGATGTCCCTGACTGGGTGATGCCCTGAGGTCACAGCTGTGTCACAATGTCCAAATGTCCCAGAAACAGGGAAAGGCCTTCAACACCCAGGGACCCTGTCCTTGCAGGGGGTAGGGTGGGGTGGGAGGAAGGTCTGTGGTCTCCCTCAGAGACAGCAGTGAGTTCCATTTTCCACTAACTTCATGATTTGGTTCAAGGGGTGGGGAAGGCTCTCCCTGATGGAGGGCAGGTTGTGCCTCATGGATTGTCACTCTGTGTCGAGCTCTCGGGTTTGGCTTGGATGTCTCTGCTGCTTAAGTGCCTTGGGATCTTTCTTTTTATTAGGAAAGGGGCATGCTCCCAAGCAAGATCAGCTGATCCTGAATAAACACACTTGGGACCAGCCACAGATGCCCAGGCTGTCCCCAGGGAGCACGCAGACCTCGAGGAGACCCTAGCCTCCTGCCCGGCTGTTTCCAGAGCCCTGAGCCAGGTCTGACAAGTTTCTGGTTTCTTATAAGCAAAAATGAATGGTTTTCTCCTGTCTGCTTGACTCCCCTGCTCTGGAGAGAGAAAGATTTCTTTCTAGGTGGAAATGAAACCAGATCATTTCTGCGACTTTGTTTGCTCTTGGAAAGCAGGAAGCCCTATGAGGCCTGAGCAGATGTGACATATACAAAACTCCTCCTGGCCAGAAATAGGAGTTACCTGTTTTGGGTTTTATTTATCTATTTATTTATTTGCTTGTTTTGTTTTTGTTTGTTTTTAAGATAGGGTCTCTCTTTGTAGGCCTGGATGACCTGGAACGCACTATGTGTGTGTGCATCTGTATGAATTTATGTGTAACACACACATGGAGGTATCCATGGAGGTACCATGGAGGCCAGAAGAGGGCACCAGACCCCCAGGAGTGGTTGTGAGCTGTCAGTGTGGGTGCTTGGGGCCTCTTAATTGCTGAGAAATCTCTTCAGCCCTAGGAGGGGATATTTTAGAATCAGTTGTACCATGAAACTACAGAAATAATGCACCCCAAGACTCTGGAATTTTCCCAGGAGTCTCACGCTGGGGAAGGGCAAGGCTGAAGCCTGGTGCCAGTCAAAGAAGGAACTTGCCTCCCAGGGAGGTCTCACAGAGTTCTGAGAACTCGTCAGACCACCTTGTAGGAGAGACTGGAGCTGACAGTGATGGGTCAGTGACGGGCTTGCTTAGGAATGCACCCATCCTGTCCTCTATTTAAGCCTGAACCTCATATCTAGGCCTCAGAAGAGGGACTTGGGGGCAACTGGGCCACTTTGTTTTTCTCCCTACATGGCCACATTGAATAAAATTCTCTCTGTTTTTCATAATGATGTACTGGAGACAAGTTGCTGAGCCTGGCTTATTGAGGCTGCCAGAGCCCAGGCTTTTGCTATCAACTCTGTTAACATCCACTGTGCTCCCTGAGTTCGGAGCCTGCCTGACTCAGCAGCAACTCCTGCGGTGTTTTCCCATGCTGGAAGGAAACCAGTTGCTCCATCCCCACCCACATGCAGGATGCTCTGCTTAGGCAGGCCTGGCCTTGTCCAGGCCACAGGGTCTGTTCCACTTTGTCCAGAGCAGAGGTTTCAGAGACAATGCTTCTTTAGTGTTGAAACCAGGACAAAGCAGGCAGACCCACCCAGAGATTCACACTCAGACAGGAGCTTTCTGTAAAAGTTTTGTTTGTTTTGGAGGGAGCATCTGAAGCAGGCCCGGGGCTACTGGTCTGTGGATGACTGTGTGCACACAGCTGCTTAAAGCTCTCCATGGCCACAGCACCTGCAGAGTGGCTCCTGCTCAGGCGGACCTTGCTCTAGCTTCATGGAGCCCATATCTTGCTGCCGACACAGTACCAGCTGGGACAAGGGATGATGTGCTCTCTCCCTGCAGGTGTGTTCAGATCACTACAACACGATGGACCACACACCCCTCATCTGTGACTATGGTTCTGGCTTCAGTAAGGTGGGCTTTGTAGGAACCGAGGCCCCTCTGGCTGTCTTCCCCACCATCATTGGGAAACTGAAACATAACGTGAGTGACTCCTTGGCTTCATCCTCCAGTCTCTTGTGCTTCTCCGATAACTGTGACAGTCATAGCTCCCAATGCCCTGACTTTCATACTGACAGTCCTCTGTTAGATGTCTCAAGAAGGTGGCCTTAGGGACAAACTAGAGGACATAAGCAAGCAGCTCCCATTCTGGTTGCATGCATTTTCATACTCTTCATAATGAGCAGTGCCTTTGGGTACAGCTTCTCTTTGTATCCAGTACCTCTGGACCCAACTGGAGCTACTGGCAGCCTTTTCCTCTCACCTCAGGAACCCTCCTCTGAAGTTGGTTGGCAGCACCCCTCCCCACAGGTAGTGGCTCCCTCCTCTGTCATCCTGATAAACACCAGCTTCCTCTGAAGTTCAGTGTCTCTTTCTCTATAGTGTAGGATCATAATGTGGGCTGTACCTGAAGTCATCCCATGGAGAGGGGTGAGGGGGACGGGACGCTCACTAACTGTGCAGTGTGTGTCCTGAGAACCCCAGTGGATGCCTGGGTCTCTGCAGAGTCTTGAATTTTCATCTTTATACTCGTTCTTACTCAGACCTGTGTAGCATGTGAGTCATAAACCAAGTACCCATGTCCAGTAAGAAAGAGAGAGATGCTGCAGTGTTGGTTCTGTGAGTGTGGCAGAGATAGTCATGGCAGATGATGTTTGCAGAATATGGGTTCACAGAACCCCTGAATGCAGAACCATGGCCAAGGGGTGCACTGCGTGAAGAGCATGTGGCCAGCGGCGCTCATGGATCAGTTATGGGGATGAAGCAGAGGGCCATAGCATGGGAAAAGTTCAACTCTCCATGGAGGCCATAAGCAGCTCTACTGGGCCTGTCTCTTCTCTTTTTTGCCTTCCATTTTCCATATTCCCTGTTGGCCTTCCATCATCCAAATTCCCCAGCCCTGAGGAATGGGAGTGGCTCCCATGTTCAGTAGAGTCCTTTTCCTTCCTAGGCATGAGACTCAGCTGTCCTCTGGGCTCCGTGACCCTGATCTCTACCCAGGCCTGGTGACTGGCAGTGTGAGGGCAGTAGGGTTAGTCTCTGGGAGGCCTGGAGAGGACAGAGAAGCTGGACAAGGACAAACTTATTCTTTCCATTGCAGCTCTGGCCCACAGGCCACCCGGGGACAGGAACCAGGCACAACCCTGTCCACCTCGTTGCAGTAAATGGTGACTTCAAAGCTGGGTAATCAGACCTGGTCCCCACATTCATCACACACTTTGAAAAGCATCAGAGGAGACACAGCATTGGCGATGCCATGTCCCGCTGGTCTTTCAGTCTGGGGGGCGGGCCTCACTCCACATGCTTCCAGCAGTGCATGGGGTTCACTGAGCACAGAGGGAATTGCTTCCACTTGACAGAAGGGGGTGAGGCCTTCAGGAGGGATCTTAGCTCAGACCAAGGCCAAAGCTGTGGAGAGGACAAGATAGCTGAGGACACCAAGGTCTGTGCAGCTGGGCTGTGGCTTCCTTGTGCACAGGCCTGGCTCAATAATAATAATAATAATAAACCTACTGTTGTACTGCGGCATGGCGCTACTGTAGCCCTGCAGCATCACTGTGCTGCTCCACTGCAGCAAGGCATCATTGTGTCATTATTTGTGTGCCATGCACCACCATAGCACTGCAACACTGCAGCATGGCATGCCACACAGCTGCATGGCTGCACTATGGCACCATGCACCCGTGCAGCCCTATAGCATCACTGTGCTGCTCCACTGCAGCAAGGTGCATTGCACTATGTACCTTGCACCACTGTAGTACACAGCATAGTACCACCACATAGCTACATGACAACAGATAGTACCATGCACCCATGCAGCATTGCGATATCTCTGCACTGCAACATTGCCTAACTCTCTGACACTTGCACCATGTCCCCCAACTCCCCTTGTCCCTCTTCCCTGTTGCACTACTGCCTCATGCACATTGTTCCCATCTAGCTTAAGCATGAGCTTATCCTGGAGACCCTGACCTCCTCTGAATGGGTGGGGTTCAGGGATTCCTCTGTGACCTCACGAAGCCAGCCTTCTGTGTACACTGAAACACCCACTTTCCCTTCCCTGTTTCCTTCTTTGCTGTGCTCAGACTCAGACACGGGCATAGCCTGATGGCTCTTCAGTCCTTGCCCTTGCTGGGCTTCCTGCCCCTTCTCATTCAACCAGGCAAGTTCCCTACTAAGTCTTCACAGCTCTGATCCTAATGCCTCTTTCTTAGTGGACTGAGGCAGGCCCCTCTGACAGCATGAGAGTAGGCCATCTTCCTGAAACTCAGGAGCCAGCTCATGCTACAGGCCCTTTTCCAGCAAGCCTTCCAGAATAAGTGTGCAGGATATGCCCCCATGCCTTCCCTTCAACTGGTTTTCTCTGCTGGCCTCAGTTTCCACACCTGCAGTGCAAGTGTCCTCACAGTGACCCTCAGCAGGCCCGGATCTTGCAGACAATGGCCCCCTTTGTTAGTAACCACTGCTGAAAGTGTGCATGCTTGGAAAGCTTCCTCGATGTCTGTGCTAGTGATTGGTGACAGCTTCCAGCACCCTCATGACACTGGCTCATATTCACAGATGACAGCCATGTACAGTGGGCCCGAGCCCCAGCCTGCCATTCTCAAGGACTGTCCTGTCCTGCCTGTGTTTTCCAGAACCTGCTGGTAGGGGTGGAGGAAGAAGACTGTTTCATTGGAAGTGAGGCCCTGAATAATCTAAAACAACTGAACCTAAACTATCCTATCACCCGGGGAACCATCACCAACTGGGACAATATGGAGAAGGTGAGCTACAGCCTCTGGGGGAGAGGCCCCATCACGCCTCTTTCTTAGTGGACTGAGGTAGGCTGAGGTGGACTGAGTGGACTGCCTTAGCACTGAGGGAAGGATCTGCGGTTAGGGCCTAGCTCTGTTGAGGCTCTCCATAGTCACAGCCTTGGGGGTCCTAGCCAGGAAACTTCTTCCAGTCCTCAGATTCCTTGTCTATAAGATGATATGATCATTCCTATGCTGTCGTGGTCGGTAGGGAATGATGGATAAGAAGCACTTAGCCTCAGAGGGAGTTAACACACAGTTAATGTTCTAACCAGCTGTCCGTGACACCTGCACTTGAGGGCGTGTTGTTTATGATCTGGGCAGCTGTATTGAAATCCTGCAGCAAGGCAGCAAAAGTCTCAAATATATGTTGTCTCACAACTCTCAAGGTCAAGGTGTTGGTACAGGACCACTACTGAGGGCTGTGAGGGAGAGGAGCCTGCCTCGGGCTTCTACCTGGTTTCTGGAGAGCTTGCTGACAATGTTTGGGGGCTCCTTCACTTGTGGAGCATTACCTCAGTCTCTCCTGTCATCTCCACAGGGTATCCTCCTGTATGTGTTTGGTTCAGAATTCCCCATTTTATTAGTGTGGTACTTGAATTAAACCAGGGACACCCCATTCCAGTATCAGCTCCTCTCAGTGTCTCCAGTGACACCCACGGCAGTGTGTTCCAGAGAGCGTGGCACTCTGAGGTCTTGGGGCTTCCACATAGAAGTTGTGGGGATCATAACTCAGATAAAGCAATGCGCTAACATAGATTAATCCATCAGTTCCAAATCCAGAGACTTGAAACAACGATGCCTCCTTCCACCCTCACAGTTTCTGCTTGGGTCCTGAAGGAGCAGGTGGCGCTCTACATGAGAGGGTGCAGCAAAGAAACCACCAAATTGGCATGGAAGCTTTGAAATTCATAACAAGCATTTGTGAGTTAGGGCTGAGGGAGCCTGGAGGCCAGCAGGGACCTTGATATGCTACCATAAGTAGATGTCAATGGAGAGCTGTGTGTCTCTTACCAGAGGCGAGGGAAATGATTCCTTTTGACAGATGGGAACCAGTTCCACAAAGTTCCTGGGTTTTTAATCTAACTGCCAGAAATCCTTCTATAGTCTAGCTTGAGCTCATCCATAGACATATGAAGGGCCTATGAACTAAGAAACACTAGAAAGGGCCACGGCATCAGCAGCAGGACATGTGTCTCATGTCCCTCATACAATATCTCCTGGGCTGCCTGAAGGAACATGAAGCCATATCATGGTGACTGGCTCTACCAGGGCAGGAGGCACGCACAGCATGGTGGGCAGGTCTTGATACAGACCTTTGTCACCAGCCCACTCAGTGGTTTTTTGGATGGCTCAGGCTGCCTGCCAATCCTTTGTGGCACTGCTCCTGGCTCTTCCTAAGCCTCTAGATGTTGGTTTCAAACATCCACCCATGTACCAGCATCTCCCAGGGTCCATCTTCTATCCACCGTCTTGTAACTCACTTTTCCCCACTTCAGCACCTTATGTCATTCTCCTGTTCCAGGCTGTTAGTGGCTGGGTATCAAAGAATAAGCCTGCCTGTCTGCTGTGGCTTCACAGACACCATCTGCTTCCTGGGTTCTCCACTCTCCTTTGATCATGGAGCTGTCCCTAGTTGCTCTCCCAGAGTGCTGTGTGGCTTCCCTTTGACAGGGAAGGCAGGAGCTTCACACAGGATAACTACTGTGTGAAGTAGTTGGCCACAATATGTCCCCAAAGGTTTTTTGTTTGTTTGCTTTATTATTTTTTTTTATTTTTCAAGACAGAGTTTTACTGTGTAGCCCTGGCTGTCCTAGAACTGGCTCTGTAGACTAAACTGGCCTCTAACTCACAGACATCCACCTGCCTCTGCATCCTGAGTGCTAGAATTAAAGCGACCACCACCCGGCTGCCCCCAAAGTTTTTATACTGGAGTCGCAAACCCTATTCTCAGAATGCTTTGGAGACAGGGATTATCTTAGGGTTACCATTGCTATGATGAAGCACCATGACCAAAAGCAAAGTTTGTTTTGCTCAAAGTTCCATATAACAGTTCATTACCAAAAAGAGTAAGGGCAGGAATTCATATAAGGCAGGGATCTGGATGCAGGAACTGATGCAGAGTCCATGGAAGGGTGCTTTCTAACTAGCTCCTCATGGCTTGCTTAGCCTGCTTAGTCTTATAGAACCCAGGACCACCAGCCAGGGGTGGCTCCACCCACAATGGACCAGGCCCTCCCACATCAATCACTAATTAAGAAAATGCCCTACAGCAGGACCTTTTTTGTTTTTTGTTTTTGTTTTTTTGAGATAGGGTTTCTCTGTGTAACAGTCCTGGTTGTCCTGGAAACTGTTCTGTAGACCAGGCTAGCCTTGAATTTATAGAAACCCTCCTGCCTCTGTCTCCTAAATACTGGGATTAAAGGCGTGCACCACCGACACCCAGCTATAGTTGGATTTTACATAGATATCTTCTCAATTGATTATCAGTTGAGTTTTTCTCCTCTAACAACTCTAGCTTTGTGTTGACAAAAAACTAGCTAGCATTGGGATTAAAATTGTCGACATTTGCCGGGCGGTGGTGGCGCACGCCTTTAATCCCAGCACTCGGGAGGCAGAGGCAGGCAGATCTCTGTGAGTTCGAGGCCAGCCTGGTCTACAAAGTGAGTTCCAGGACAGCCTCCAAAGCTACAGAGAAACCCTGTCTCGAAAAAACCAAAAAAATTTTTTTCGACATTTATGTTTTATGCTTATGATTGTGTTGTCTGCATGTCTGTATATGCATCACATGCATGGCTGGTGGCTATGGAGGCCAGAAGAGGTTATCAAATCCTCTGAAAATGGAGTTACATATTGTGAGCCATCAAGTGGCTACTGGGAATCAAATTCAGGTCCTCTGCAAGAGCAAACAGTGCTCTTAACCACTGAACTAGCCAGTCCAAGACAGGGCCCTTACAGAGACCATTACAGCTAGGCTGTGTGAAGGTACTTTTCTTCTATCTCAGCTCCATGGTGAGAGAAACAGGAGAGTCAAGAGTTCAAGGCATGACCAGATGATAAGATGGAGAAGACAATATCAGCAAGCCAAAGAGACAAGCCTCCAGAGCTGCCAGTCATACAACCATGTCAGATCTCCAGTCTAGGCATGAATGCTGACCCCCCTCTCAAGGACAAACAGAAGTTCACCCTGGCCTGACTTATAAAACATTGGGGAGGGATTACTAAAAGGAGCATAGGGGACCCAAAAAACAGCCACACAGAATGTCTTCAATCAGCATGTGTGATGGCTTCCCCAGTATATTAGTTAGGGTTCTCTACAGTAACAAAAATTATAGAATTAATCTCTCTATATATAGAAAGGGATTTAGTAGAATGACTTATGTCCAGCTAATCCAACATGGCTGCTTATGAACAGAAGGTCCAAGAATCCAGTAGTTGTTCAGTTTCTGAGACTGGATGTCTCAGCTTGTCTTCAGTATATGCTGGAATCCTCAAGTAGGCTCTAATGCCAGTGAAGGAATGGACTGCCAGTGAGAACAAGAGTAAGAGTAAGCAAGCAAGAGCAAAAGCTTCTGTTGCAGGATATTTTGATCACACTGGGAGTCTGTTTTACCTCACCTGCCTATGCACCTTCTGATTGGTTTAATAAAGAGCTTAATGGCCAATAGCTAGACAGGAAGAAGACAGGCCAGTTTTCTGAATAGAGATAGGAACTCTGGGCTAGGATCTGGCATGGGAAATTCTCCAGCAAGACACAGAGGAAGTGGATAGTACAATACTAAGGAGAGGTAATAAGATACATGGCCGTATGTAGATTAATATAAATGGGTTAATTTAAGTTATAAAAGCTAATTGGGAACAAGCCTAAGCTAAGTATAAGTTTTCACAATTAATAAAAAGTCTATGTGTCATTATTTGGGAGCTGGAAGTCCACCGAAAAATCTGACTATAAGCTTCCTTCTTCCATGTCCTTTATATAGGCTGCCAGCAGAAGGTATGGCCCAGATTAGCACTGGGTCTTCCCACCTCTAAAGATACGGAACAGAAGTGGATCTTCCCACTTCAAACAATCTAAAATCCCTCACAGTAGTGCCAGCCATTTTTATGGGTTTTAGTTAATTCCAGATATAGTAAGATTGACAACCAAGAATAACCATTACCCCCATGGCTGAGTGGATGGAGCTGTCCCCTATCCATCCTAGCCTATATACTTTAGCTTCTCCAGAAACACCACATGCAATTAGGGCAGAGTGTTATTTAAGTCACTGGGATGAGTGACTTAATGACCTTGCCCATCCTCTCTGGAGGGAAGTCAGCAGTGCACAGGCTGGTCCTGAAGGACTTTTACAAGCATGCACAGCTGATCTAGTGAAGATGATAGCAGTTTGGTTCAGAGGACAGAACCTTACAACAGGAGTGAACGCCTGCCTGACAACATTGTTACCTGGGGCCCCCACTTCCTGGAGTGGAGGACAGTCTCTTCCATTTTAAAGATGAGGATGGAGGCTAACTAAGGTCACCTTGATGGTCCTGGGCAGGCATATGTTATGTGGCAAACTTCCATTATTGCTGGGCTTTCTCTGTGATACCCAAACCACCTGTGTTTCCACCTCATTCCTGAGTTTTGGTGCATGTATCTGTCACCCATCAGACCTGCGAGACCCTTAGACAGTGATGGGCCTACCAACCCCTGCCAGCCCCTGCCAACCCCTGCAAGCTCCATGCCCTAACTTCAGGCATGGTGTATCATCAGAGGCTGGGTCATGCTGCATCTTACTTTGATGGTGAGCCAGAGGTGCTGTCTACAATTCAGCCATCTTTGGAATTATGGAGTCTGGTCCACAGGCATTTTAGACACCCACATGCCATTTCTGTGTACAATGGCAGAACTTGCAAGGTGCCAACCAAGTCCTTTTATATGCCCCATTTAATCTCTAGATGGGCTACAAAACTTCTTTGTTACCACACAAATTACTGGGGACTGAATTGCTTAAAAACAGTGCCAACTAAGTCTGAATATGTTTATAGCTTTGCTTTTTTGTGATAGGGCCTCATGTAGCCCAGGCTGGCCTCCAACTTGTTACATAGTTTAAGATGGCCTTGAACTTTTGAGTCTTTTGCCTATACCTCTTGAGTGCTGGGGTTTCAGGTGTGCACTGCCATGCCTGGTTTATGTACTGCTGGGGATGGAGCTCACGGCCTTGTGAATGCTAGGGAAACATTCTACCAACTGAGTTACAGTCCATGCCTCCAGTTTTTCCCCAAACATTTTTGATTCTTTGTTAGCTAAATCTTTAGATTTGAAATCTACAGATCTGGAGCTCAACTGTACCAATTTGTCAGATGGATGGAGGACTATGTAATAGAGATGATCAGTGATAGCTAGGTAATAAATGATAGACATAGATAGAGGGATATTAGACCAGAGGTTCTCAACGCATGGCTCACACTTCTCAGATATCCCATATATCAGATATTTACATTATGATTCTTAATAATGGTAAAATTACAGTTATGATGTATGAACAAAGTACTTTTATGGTTGGGTGATCACCACAATATGAAGAGCTATATTAAAGGGTCAAAGCATTAGAAAGGTTGAGAACCACTGTGTTAGATGGGTAGATGATTGATAGATAGATAGATAGATAGATAGATAGATAGATAGATGACAGATAGAAGGTAGATTGACAGATTGATGATAGACATAGACACAGGCAGATGCAGAACAGACAGAGAAAACAGACATACAGATAATAGACGATAAACAGATTTTGAGATGAACAGATAGGTGTATATGGGTAGAAGTAGATGATATCTAAAGAGACTAGTTGTTAAACAGAAGGCATAGGTGATTTAGATAGATAATAGATGTATTTGATACATAGATCAGTAGATGGGTCATAGATAACAGTCAGCATGTCTTTGGACAGCAAACATCTGCTCTACTATCCTCTCTCTGCAGATTTGGCATCACTCCTTCTACCATGTCCTCCACATCGCCCCTGAGCAGCACCCTGTAATGATAACAGAGCCACCATTAAATAGAGCAGACGTTAAATCAAGAATTACTCAGGTAATGGGGCCTGGGGCCAGGTGATGCAGGAGGGTAGGCTGCTGTTATGTCCTGACTTAAAAGTTCCCTGCCTCTGGCCTCATGCTTGTCCTTCCTGCCATGATGGAGTTTGTGGGGGACTGATGGAGTTTAAGGGTGGATCCCTGTCTTTAAGTGCTCCAACCAGAGCCCAGATGGCAGAATCCTCCTTACGCTGCAGTGGGACTAAATGCAGTGGCTTCAGGAAGCTGCCCCCCTCCCTAGCTGTAAGAGATCTTCTCCTAAGACTCAGCTTCTCCTATAGAGGACACAGGAAAGCTAATTAAGCAGGCCATCAAGCTGGCTCATCTGGCTGGCATCTCTGGAGCTCAGTGGCCAAGGCATGATCTGCATATCTCAGAGGCTACCTAGACCTGGAAGCAGCATTTCTACCAATCACAGCACAAGGTGTGAGTTCACATCATACAAACTCCAAACTGATTGACCACTGACCCCCACCCCAGTGTGGACAGTCAGACCATGGAAATAGCCACAGCTGGCTCCCCTGAAAGACTGGGTATGACTGACTTCACTCCAGAAGCATCCCATGTCCATGAGGATTTCAGCAAACTAGAGTGAGACAAGAGAAGGGTGAGACTGCCCCCAACCCAACTGCCTGTCCACTCCTCAACTGTAGCAGACAATGGAACAGGAACAAGAGTGTGTGTGGGCCAAGACAGAGACCTGTGAGGAGATGTGAAGGCAGGGGCAGAGTAGCTGAGCTCAACCTCTACCAGCTGGAGCTGTGAGTGTGCTCCAGTGGAGCCCAGTAGGATGGAGACACATAGAGATGAAGGTTCAAGTCTAGTCTGATCAGAAAAGCTCCCATTGCTGTTCCATCCTGTCTTCTCCTCCTTGGACAAACCACCTGCCCTCCTCAGACCCTGACTCAATGTCACTTGTCTAGATAGATACTTGCAGGTATTCTCACAGCAAAGTGATTCGTATAAACAATTTCAAGCAGCCCTTTCTGGGGCAGTGCCTTCTTCCATGAAGGTGATCAGCGATGATAGTTTGTCCAGTTGTTGCAAATGGAGTGTAAAGGTAATGGTACAAGCCAAGGGCTTGGTCAGACCAGCCATTTGACTGACAGCCAAGCACAAGCGGGAACAGAACATCCAAGAGCCGCTAATTAGGGAGTTAGACTGCAGTGCCTAGTGACAGGAAGATAAACCCCGAAGCATGCTGACAATATGAACTCACAGACCTTAATACTAACCCGTTCACAATGCTGACACCTGTCCAGTGGTCAGGGAGAGAGAGGGCCCCTGGTGGGTCTCACCATTATGTCCTGATTCAACCAACCTTCTCACCATCTATTATAGAAGTACTAGAAGGAGCTGGGACGCCAGTGTCCTAATTAGCTTTAACTGTCAACTTGACACAGCCTAGAGCCACCTGAAAAAGTCATTATCAGATTAGTCTGTGCACACATATGTGGGAGATTGTCTTGATTGTTAGTGTAGGAATGTCCAGCTCACTACAGGCAGTGTCATTCCTGCAGGTGGTCCTGGGTAGCTTGAGCACAAGCCTTTGAGTGAACCAGGAAGAATTGTTCCTCCATGGTTCCTGCCCTGATGAGTCACTGACTTCCCTCAGTGATGATCCATGATCAGCAAGTAGTCACCAAATAAACCCTTTCCTCCCCTAAGCTGCTTTAGGTCCGAGTGTTTTATCACAGATGCAGAATGAACTAGAACAACCACTTCACAGCAGAGCCAGCTGGAGACAGGTGCTGGACACCCTAGGCTTAGTCCCCCTGGATCCACAGCCTGCTGCAAGAGGCACTCATGAGCACCCGGGCAGTGTGTGCCACCTGGCTAGCCAGCATGCCAATCTTCCTCCCCAGATCCTATTTGAAACCTTCAACGTCCCTGCCATGTACATGGCTAATCAAGGGGTCCTCTCCATGTACGCTGCTGGCAGAATCTCAGGTGAGTGACCCTGTGGGATCCCTATCCTTCCCAGACACACTGTCTAGTTCTCGGGACTGGGGATACTCACCACAACATGCAGCCTCTCCCTGACAAATAAAAGCATAGGAAGGGGCTGGCAAGATGGGTCAGTAGGTAACGGTACCAAGCCTAGTGACCCAAGTTCAATCTCCAGGACCCACATGGTGAAAGGAGAGAACTGACTCCTGAGGAGTGTCCTCTGACCCCACATGTGTGCAGGCATGTGAGAAAACACTACACTACACACACACACATGCACGCGCGCATGTGCCCACATGCAAGTGTTCATTAAAAGAAAGCAAAGGACATTCTTCAAGGCTTACAATGATCCTCACTTCACAATAAGAGCACTAGAGACTCAGAGTAGTGAACAGCAAGGCAGTTTATTTTCTGACCTTGTATAGTTGGGTGTCAGCCTGGAGAAAATGCAAAATGGCTTATATGATTTGGTGCAAAACTGGTTTTTGTTTTGTTTTTTAAGAATTATTTTTAAGTGTGTGTGTGTGTGTGTGTGTGTGTGTGTGTGTGTGTGTGTGTGTGTACAGTGCTCTCAGAAACCAGAACCATGAACTATCCCTCGATTGGAGTTACAGGTAGTGGTGGATCACCTGATGGATCATCTGCAAAAGTAGTAGAGACTTTTAACTGCTTTAGCCTGCAAACAGTGGTTTTTAAGGTCCCTGATTGCAAAAACACCCCTGCCTTCTGCTTCCCATAAACTAGTTCTCCAAACAGTTAAAATCTTCCTCTCCCAACTCTACCTCCTCCTGGGGCTCTAGATTCCCCTCCCCCTTCCAGATACTCAGCTCAGTCACCTGGCAGACTATAACTTTTCAATCCAAGAGGAACTAAAAAATAGCAGTTGCCAGCAAGGGTCTAATGTGTCCTTACCTGTGGTCCTCTGGTGAGCTCTGGACACACCGTATTCCAGAAATGGACTGTAATAAATTATTTCTTACACATAGCTGGCTCTTGTTCTCACTCCTTTCCCTTCTTTCTCTTGGTGACACAGAAATGCTCCCAGAATGCAGACTCATTTTTTTCTTAACTGATTTGCTAAGGTGTTACTGAGTGAAATTAACAGCCCTTGCGTGTGCTCACAAACCACCACCTTCATACCCAAGGATCCCACTGTGCCGTTCTGCCCCTCCCAACTGTTGAGATAGCTCCTACATTTTTTGACTTTGTGAATGGAACTGTGCAGGCAGCATGTGACCATCGTTCCCTTTTTCACTTTGTTCACTATATGGAGGTTCTTTCTTGCGTCACCGCCATCAACAGTTCACTTCCTCTTGCTGAGCCAGGGTAGCGTGGTTCCATGTCAGCAATGTGCCAAGCTTTTGTCTACTTATCTGCGGATGGAAGTTTGGGGTGTTCCATTCTGGGGGGTTATGATGAAGCCCCCGTGGACATTTGCATGTCTGGATAGATCTTCCTGTAGCATACGGAACAGTGGCAGCTCTCCATGGTTCTTCCACAGTTCTGCTCTATCACTCTTCTTACCGCTGTGACAAGACACCTGACAGAGCAGCTTAGGGAAGGTTTGGCTCACAGTTTGAGGGCACAGTCTATCATGGCAGCAAAGGAGCAAATGGCAGCTGGCCACATTGCAGCCACAGTCAAGGCTCACATCACCATGGGATGGTGTCACCAGCATTCAGGGTGAGTCTTCCCTCTTTAGTTAACACAACCTGGAATCTCCACCACAGACATGCCCAGAGGCTTCTGTTCTTGGTGAATCTAGATCCTGTCAATACTAACCACCCCACCTGCCAGTTCTTGGAATGACCAACCAGTCTTCTTATTGTGGCCATTCTTGTAGAAGTGCCACAGTGTCCCCTCCTGCTTTTAATATGTACTCCCCTCAGAGCCAAGGATTCTGAGCATGCCCTCTTGTGTTTGTTGGCTATCTGTGTCTACTTCAGTGGCAGAGTGACTCTCAGGCGTTTTACCAGATTCTCATGAGTTTTCCTGTATATTGCAAGCACTCTCTTTCCAGTCTGGCTTGCAGGTCTTTTATCAGGCATGTGTTGTGCAGAGGTGCACGCCCACCCAGGTTCCACTTCCCTGCCCACAGTCTTTTCAGTAGAGTCTCGTTTCTCAACGTTTTCATATCTGGTGCCACATTCAAACTTCATTTTCTGCACCCAAAGGCTTTCTGCTTCCTTCTAGACATTTATAGATTTTAACGTTCTGTTCTATGGTCCATTTTGAGTGGATTTTTAATGTACCATGTAAGATACAAATGAAACACGTGTGTTGGTATTCCTGTAGTATTTACTGAAAAGACCCCTCTTTTAGCTGTAGTTTATTATGGAGTCATTTTAAGTGGCAGTGACCCAGAAACATAGATTTAGGTTACCCCAAAATTCTATCTTCCAATGTGGAAGCAGTTTCATGATGTTTTATAGTTTTGTAGAACAAAGAAAGTCAACTCAAGGCAAGTTTAAAGCACTTTAGTGGGTCCATCAGAGAGGCAGTTACAGCAAGATTGAAGCTTTTCTATAGGCTCAAGATGCTACCTGATGACAATCTTAGCTTTTGGATTGGTGGAAGCTAGTGAGTGGGTCTGCTAAGTCAATAGATTCTAAAACTTTCTATCTGTTAGTCACAGGACTTTAGTTCCAACACAGTGGTAGGCAAGGAAAGACTGTCCTGGGGGCTAAAGCTAGCCTGAGATGAGGTAATTAGTCTCTGGACCTGCACCATTCCAATCTCTCCTCAGTAATGAAGTTCTGGCTAGTCAGTCATCCTTTGCAGACACAGATTCTTATTCCTAGGGAATACGGCTGCAAGTAGGCCCCTGATTGCCCAGTGCATGCCTACATCCATGTGCATATAAGCAGCATTAAATGGACTCAGAGGGTCATCAATAACAATAAAAATAAAGAGGATGTGAGGTTGGGAGCAAGAGGAGGTGAATCACTAAGAGAGTTGGAGGAAGGTAACCGGGGATATGATCAAAATACATTGTATAAATATACAACATTTCAAAGAATAAATAAAAATATTAAAAAAGAAAGTAGGGACTGGAGAGATGGCTCAATAGTTAAGAGCACTGGCTGTTTTTTCAAAGGACCTAGGTTCAATTCCTAGCACCCTCATGGGAACTCATAACCATTTCCAGAAGGCCTGACACTTTCTTCTGGCTTCTGAGCAAGGACACCAAGTAGGCATGTGTACACACACACACACACACACACACACACACACAGAGGCAAAAACACTCATACATATAACATAAAAGTATATATTAAAAAAAAAGAGAAAGTAGAGGGGTCTATGTGGAACCAGGAGGGTGACAAGAGGAAGCAGAGGATAGACATGACCAAACTAGCAAGTAAAAACTGCCCCAGGAAAACCTGGCACTTTGTGCCATTATTAAACACTATAATCATCATCATCATCATCACATTTTGTAAACTAAAAAAGAGACAAGATTCCTTTTTTTCCTTGAAATGCCTTTGTGTGCTTTTTGAAAATTACTTTTCCATGTATGCCTCAGCTGACTTCTGAGTTTATGGCCCTGTTCCATCATTTTTTTTCTGATTCTAGGTCAACATCACATGGCCTTGATGACCATGGCTCATACCGAGTCTTGAAATTAGGTCATTTGTCCTATCCTCTGGATTTCTTGAGTTTGAGATGTGGGCTCTGCTAGGTCTTTTGAATTCCTCCATGGGTTTTAGAGTCTGAAAACAATTAAAACAAAAACTAAACAAACAAAAATCCCCAGTACCACACATCTTTGGATTTTGTTTGGGGCTGTGTTGAAAGGATGGAACAGTTTTGAAAGAGCCAGAATCATATATACAATTGCTTCTTTATTTTAAACATTTTGCCGGGTGGTGGTGGCACACGCCTTTAATCCCAGCACTCGGGAGGCAGAGGCAGGCGGATCTCTGTGAGTTCGAGGCCGGGCTGGACCGATAGCCTCCAAAACAATACAGAGAAACCCTGTCTCGTAAAAACCAGAAAAAAAAGTACAAATATTTTAAACACTTTATTTGACAAGAACCAAGTGTTTCTGGAAGATCTTTTCTTTCTTTCCTAAGGAGAGCCATCTCCATTTCTCAGAGAGGAGAGAAGCAGGACTCCACAGTCTGGGGGTGTAGGGCACACTTTGCTGAGATTTGCAGATACAATGCTGCAGGGAGTTCCATAACCTTCCTGACAGCTAGACACCTATAAGGTCTTTACCACATCACAGCCACCGTTCTCTACAGTGGTAGAAATGGAAAGAGCCGGAATCTTAAAGGCATCTAGTCTAGGTCCCTCTTGACACTGCGATAGGACTCACGGTTTCCAGGCCATCCATGCCTGTCTTTCACCTCACAGCTTCTGACGCTATTGAAAGTAGGTTTATTAGTTGTGTTTGGAGTGTGAGTAGGATTTGGCATATAAATATGGTTTTTTTTCTAGACAGAATCTTGTATATAGAACTGACTGTCCTAGAACTCACTCTGTAGACCAGGCTGTCTTCAAACTTAGAAGTTCTCATTCAGAGGGGATATGGCTCTTTGCCTCTGCCTCGCAAGTGCTGGGATTAAAAGTGTGTGCCACCACCACCTGGAAGATATATATTCTTAAAATTTTTAATTACATTATTTATTGTGTGTGCCATGGTGTATGTGTGGAGGTTGAAGGACAACTTCAGGGATTTGATTATCTCTTTATATAATGTAGGTCCCAGGAATTGAACTCAGGTCATTAGACTTGGTGGCAAGTACCTTAACCTGCCCAAGCCATCTGACCAGCCCTGTGGTAAATATATTTTTGACAAATAACATTTACTTTATTATTTCCAAGCCAGGTGTTTTTTTTAGAAATTGTTTCATTCTTTTCTACTGACTGCCCAGATTTCACTGTTCTGAGGATACAAATCCTCATCTTTCCCCCAGTTTTAGAGGGTGATCATTCAGCCTTACACTCATCAGCTACGGGTTTCATATTTTCTTCACTAATTTAAGTAAGTTCTCTTGTGTTCTTATTTACTGAGAATTTTGCCTTTTAAACAGGACTAGAGATGGGATTTTATCAAAGTGCAATTTGTGCATAGTGATATTAGATTTGACAACTTGCTACAACCTAGAATCCTCTGGGAAGGGAGGCTCAGTGAGGGATTCGCTTATGTTGGGGCGTGACTGTGAAGGTTAGCTTAACTAAATTAATTGACGTGGGAAGACCCAGCCTGCTGTAGGTGGCATCATTGCCCAGGCAGGATGTCCTGAACTGCATGAATGGGGAAATGGACTGGGCACAGGCAAGCAAGGAAGCAAGCGTGCAAATATTTGCTTCTCTGTTTTTGACTGTGGATTTGATTTGACTAGCTGTTTGAAGCTCCTGCCCTAACTTCCTCATAAGCCAGACTATTGCCTGGACTTGTAAGCTAAAAAAAACCCCTTTTTTTCTCTTAAGCTGCTTCTGTCAGGGTGTTTTATCACAGCAACAGAAATGAAGCTAGAGCATGTGTCTATTGGTGTAATCATATAAAGTAATGATTTTGAGCTGTGGAACAAAGCCCATTTAATTCTTTTAAGATGCACGTTGAAATCAACTTGCAAAAAATTCACTTTGGAGTTCTGTGTTTGTGGTCAAGAGTAACAATGGTCTGTTATGTTCTTCTCCCATCTCCCAGGGACCATGGTGTATGGGTGCATTATGGCCAATGTTTGAGAATAGATTCTGCCATTCTCAGCTGTTGTGGATGAGAGGACCAACTCTGTTCACTGTCATAGCTGGAAGGGAAGTCCCATTAACTTTGCTTAATTGAAATGTGCATTTCTTGATCCCCAGACTCAATACAGAAAACTGAGAACCACCCAGACCCAGTCTGCCCCAGAAGCCTCTGTGTCGCATGCAGTAGGCCCTTACCGTATACTCCTGAGCATGTCACACCGCCTTTGAACTAGCACACTTGGGGTCCTTGCAAGCTAAAGCACACTCCTCTGGAATGGTATTCAGGCTTTCCCAATACATGGCACTTCCCAGAGAGTCCCAGTGTTCACCCAGGCACAGACAACATTTGTCTCTTGTCTCTTTGCCAGCTATTGATAAAATTGTGTGTTTGGTTTAGCAAGAAAACCTACAGGCTTATATCCAAACCTGGTGGTCAGTCTTCATTCTAGTTCATGTCCTTTAGGAAGAAGCCAGCTCCTTGGCCCCTTTCCCTTCCCTTATGTTATTTCTTCCTCCATTCCTACAGGACTAACAATTGCCAAGGGGTGCTGCATACCCCACATGGTGACAGAATGTTCTCTTATGTAGGAACGACTATTGAATCTGGAGAAGGGATGACATACATCGTGCCTATCATTAATGGCTATCCCCTGCAACTGTCGACCGCCAAGCTGGACGTAGCTGGCCAAGACCTGACTGTGTACCTCCTGAAACTGCTGTCAGACAGTGGGAACTTGTTAGTGAGCACAGGTAGGAAGCAACTATTCTCAGATACATAAACCAGTGTAGTGGATAAGGTCCTTCATTTTCAATGCATGTGTGTATTGATGTACCTGTGTGTGTGTGTGTTTGTGTGTGTGTGTGTGTGTGTTCAGAGGCTGAAGGACAGCCTCAGGTTTCAGCCTTAAGAATGCCATCCACCTCTTTGAAACAGGGTTTGCTATTGGTTTGGAGCTCTCCCATGAGGTGTATTATTCTATTGCAGAGGAGACTTGACTAGTATCCTATAAGCATCAAGGGCCTTGGGTCTTTGATTAATGTCTTAGACAGGATAATGCTTGACCCCCTTTGTGCCCTCTTCCTGGGCTAGATTTTTAGTTTACACAGTGTGTATGACACCTGTTCCCAATAGGCCGTTGTCCTTTCTGGTCTTAGACAGGGAGTGGAAGGCCGAGCCCTGGAGCCTTAAAGAATAGCCTCAATTAGAAGGACAGTGAAACCGGTCCTTTGCATGTCCCTGACTTCCCACTCCTAGCAAGATCCATGTGGGCACCATCTGTCTGTCCTCCTAGCACACTCTCATACTGATTATACTCATCCTTGCAGATGAAGAAAGTGGAAGTTTAAAAAGGATAACAGCCAAAGAAAAAACCACAAAAAAGACAAAGTAAAAAGAATAATTTGCCTAAGTAATAATTACTTAGCTAGCCAAGTTAATGACAGAGGTGGGATGTGACCCAGAATTGTCTCACACAAACCCAAACCAGGAGGGGAACACTGGATGCAGCAGAGTCCCAGAAGCCAGGGACAGAGAAGGGAGCAGCAGATAACACCATTTGCTGGAGGGAAGGAATAGAGGGGCCTCCAGGCTCTGGAAGCAGGGTGGAGGAGATAGGGGCAAGGAGGTTGGGGTAGGCCAGGAGTGGCAGCACCCATGTGTAATCATCGTACTTGAAGGTGGAGGCAGAAGGATTAGGAGCTCAAGGACATCTTTGGCTACAAGTATATTGGAGGCCAGCCTGGGCTACATGAGACCCTGTTTCAGAAGAAGAAGAGGAAGAAGGAAGAGATGGAAAGGAGGAATGGGCAATTGGAATAAAAGAGGGAGGAAGAGGGAGGGGAAGAAGAGCAAGAAGAGGAGGGAAGAGAAGAAGGGATGAAAGGAGTCAGGAGGGGAGGAAGAGTTGGAGGAGGAGGAGGAAATGGAGGAGTTAGAGGAGGAGTTGGAGGGAGAAATGGAGGAGTTGGAAGAGTTGGAGAAGGATGATTTAGAGGAGGAGGAAATGGAGGAGTTAGAGGAGGAGTTGGAGGGAGAAATGGAGGAGTTGGAAGAGTTGGAGAAGATGGAGGAGGGGTTGGAAGAGGAAGGAGAGCTGAAAGAGGAAGAGTTGGAGGAGGGGCTAAAGGAGATGGGTGAGTTGAAGGGGGAGATGGTGGAGGAGGAGGAGCTGGAAGAAAAGGAGATGGTGGAGGGTGATTCAGGTGAGCAGCAGCTGGCGGTCTGCAGGCTGAAGAACAGGTGAGGTCTCCAGGTAAGCAGCGCAGGGAAGTCCTTTTCCAAAGGTCAAAGACAACAGCAGATAAAACGTATAAGCCTAATCAAAAGCATATCTAATCTTCAAACCTGTTGTCAGAAACCTAGGAAGGAAAGGGGCCTCAAAGGTCGTGGCCAGTTCTCCAGAGGACCAGCTGGCATGGGTGTGTGTGTGTAGGCAGACTTTTCTATCCCGCCAGCCTGTTCCCAAGTAACCACACAAGACTTACTATTAATTATAAATACTCAGCTGATAGCTTGTTACTAACTAGATCTTACACTTTAAATTAACCCATATTTTTTATCCATTCTCTGCCATGTGGTGGTACCTTTTTGTAACATGGCAAATTAAGTTCATCTTGCTTTTCTTCACATCTCCTCATGACTCCTGAGACTCCCCGCTTCTTCCTCTTTGGGCTCTTTATTTTGTCTGCGAGTCCTGCTTAACCTCTACCCATTGTCCAGTCAGCTCTTTTATTAACTAATGAGAATAATGCATATTTACAGTGTACAAAGATTGCTCCTCAGTTGAGGGTGGGGGGTGGTTCAGAATGCCCAGATAATGTGAATTGGATTTTGCAGGCCCCACAAACATCACACACAGCAGGGTTGCATCTTAGGCAATGCTAAAGATACCCAGCTCTGTGCCCCCTATGAAGAGAGGTTTACTTCTTGGTGCTCCACCCTTACAAAGCCTGGCCCATAGCCTGGCCAGGACCATGCTAAAGTGGTTGCATGGACACAGTGGCTCTCTAGGAGTGGGGCCACCTTCCTATGCCCACTCTCATGAGTTGCACCCCACATGCCCCTGCTTGTTGATCTTCCTTATCCTGCAGCTGACCGTGAGTACATCCGGAACCTGAAAGAGAAACACAGCTATGTGGCACTGGACTATGATATGGAAATGTCAAAAACTGCAGCACCCTCTTTCCAGAAAAAATTCCAGTTGCCTGATGGCAAAGAGGTCAATCTGGGGCAGGAGGCTTTCATGTGCTCAGAGGCGCTCTTCAACACCAGCCTCACAGGTGAGCCCTGGATCAGGGGACAGCAGGTCAATGGACACTCACATAGAATGCCATGGGAAGAGAGGTGTGGGAAGGGTGCCGGCAGGGCGTTCTGCTTCAGGAGCAATGCGTCCTGCTCTAAAGTGTCCCTGGTACTGGCTGCCCCTCAGCTTCCTCCTACACTCCTGTCACTTGGCTGACCCTTTGACTCCACCTAATCACAAATGAGATGGAGAGCAACAGAGCGCCATTCTCTTCAGGAGAGTGCTATTTATAACTCTGTCCCTGTACAGGATACTTTGAAATGGAACAAGGAAGATGGTGGAGGCAGAAGCATAGGCAACCAAAGTTTGTGAGTGCTTTAAGCCTCTAAATGGCCAGAGGATATTTGTTTTTGTTATATTTATTATTATTATCATTATTAAAGAAAGGTCTTCACTGTGTAGTCTTGGCTGCCCTATATCTCACTCTGTAGACCAAGGCTGGCCTCAAACTCACAGAGATCTTCCTACCTCTGATTCCCGAGTTCTGGGATTAAAGGTATGCACCACCACTGCTTGATCCCAGAGGGTTTCTTTTTTAAATAATTGAGAAGCAGGGTTTTATTAAAAGTAAAAAAAATAACCTTCAGCTTTGAGCAACTGTCAACAATGAGAGCACAGACCAGAGAATAGGATAGAATCTGATAGACAATTGGTACAAAATATGTAAGAGGACCTTAAAATTGAATGGTCAGAAAACAATCTGGTTTATAAAATGAACAAACACCAACACTGAAGAAATACAGGTGGCAAGCTGGGCATGGTGGTAGAGCAGAGAGGTCATGAGTTCAACTATTTCAATGTTTTCAAGCAAAATATGGAGAAGGCAAGTATAAAAACAGATGCCCAGTGTACTTCATCAGGGATTAGAGATTGACAAGGTACCAGCACAACAGAGATGTGTTTCCACAGTGCAGAGGCTATCACATCCAGAGGCTTTTTAATGAGTCCTGGGTTGACTACTGGCAAAGCATCTTAAGAAAAGAATTTTGACTCGTAGTTCTCAAAGAAACTGACTCAAACATTGACGTAAAGAAAAGAATTTTGACTCATAGTTCAAGGTTACTGTCTATCAGGAGCCGGAGGCAGCTGGTCACATTGCATCCATGGGCGGGCTGTAGAAAGAGAAACACTGGTACTCAACTTGGCTCTCTCCTTTATATTACACAGGACCCAGCCTATGGGATGATGTCACCCACATCAGGATGGGTCTTCCCTCCTCAGTTAACCCAGTCTAGACAGTCCCTCGGGCATGCCCAGATGCTTGACTCCATGGGGGTGGATGCTAGATTCTTTAGGCTGTCAGTATTAACTCTCAGGATCACTTTCTCTCTAGTCGTGCATAACTGTCACCTAGCACTGGAATGCAGAAGCAGGAGGATGGCCATGAGTTCATAGTTAGCCTGGGCTACACAGTGAGTCATTGTTTCAACATCAGGAGAATGACAGACTATGAAATCTCCCTGGAGAGGGAAAATGAGAGCTCAGTGAAGGCATAGAAAGCCAGAATTTCCTAAGATAAAACTCTTGAAGTTGTCTGCCCACCTTTCCAGAGGACATAACTGTGGTCAGCAGGCCTTAGCTCTGTCTTCCCTGCTATATAGTGAAAGCATGCAGTCTCTCTGCCTTTGATTTTTGAGACCTGTTTTTGCTCTGTAGCCCAGGCTAGTCTGGAACTTATTATGTAGCCTAGGCTTGTCTTAAACTTGTGGTGATCCTCCTGCCTCAGTTTCTCAAGATGGTGGTTTGTAGGCATGGTAGAGCACACAGTATGAAAGGGATAATGCATGCCAGTGTGGAGGAAGTCTTTAAAGTACTCCTCGGAGGCCAGGTGGATCCCAGGGAGGAATGCAGCCTCAGGCCCCTTACGTCAGTAAAGCCCTATTCTAGGCACAACCTGAGACCACTCCATTGGGTTAGTTCTTTACATCCATCGTTCAAGGCTGATGTCAGATGCTTGCTTATGCAACAAATGGTGAGTGAAAGCAGTTACTTAGTGGTACTTTCAAAGACTGACTTGGAATATTGCCCTATAGACACCCACAAAACAGTTGATACCAACCTCATCTGACACATGGGAGGTCAACTCTTGCCAGTAATGGTGCTGGCAGGCCAGACTTGTTATCCGCTTGCAGGTCACAGGCCTTGAGGTTCTTAGTGGCACTTGGGGCCATCCAGAACCGGGGAGGGTATCCCACCCTACAATACTAAAAAGGGGAAACTTTGATCCCAAAGCCCTTTTGTGCATTGTCCCCCAGGGAGTACCAACCCTGGGATCCACATGCAGGCCCAGCAGAGCATCACATCCTGTGACCACTCCCACTGGAAGACTCTTTTTGGTCATATCATGCTGTCTGGCGGCACTGGTGCCTGCTCAGGTCTACAATTCCGGCTGCAGAGAGAGATATCAAAACTGGTCTCTCCAGACCTCTGTGTGAAGGTATTGGCCCAAGCCTCACCAGGGACCTCAGGGCTGACCCTTGCATAGTTCTAGAGTGGCTTAAGGCTCCAGGCATTGTTCTTTCCATCTGAGGATGCACCAAGAGCCAAAGTGGCATTAGCTTGGCATTTCTAGCCTCCAAAGGAATACTTTCTACTTATGTACTTTATGTAGACAGGCATTTTGTCTGAATGTACACTTGCATATCAGAAGAAGGCATCAGATCCTATGGAACTACAGTTATAGATGGTTGTGAGCCACCATGTAGGTGCTGGGAATTGAACTCAGGATCTTTGGAAGAGCAGCCAGTACTCTTAACTACTGAGTCATCCCCTCCAGCCCTTCTGTCCCTGGAATACTTTCTAAACAAAAATTTTAATTGCACTTATTTGTCTCTTTGTGTTTGTACATGTGTGTGCATCACAGTGTGTGTGTTGCGGTCAGAGGGTGGTAATTGGTGGAAGTCACTTTTTCTTCTAGTATATGGGTCCTGGGGTTTGAACCAAGGCATAGGCTTGGTGGGGTAGGTCTTTATCCACTGAACCATCTCACCAGCCCCAAGAAGTTTTTTTTTAATCCTTATTTATTGTGTGTGCATGTGTGTGCATATGTGTATGTATGTGCATGTGTGCATATGCACACATGCTACAGCACATTGGTGGAGGTCAGAGGACCACTTGAAAGCGTCAGTTTTCTCTTTCTACTGTGTGGGTCTTAGGGATTGAACTAAACTGTCAGCCTTAGGGCAGGTGTGTTTACTGAATAGCCTTCTCATTTGTCCAGAGTGGTGTTTGATGTGGGGTTCCTTCTCTTCCCTCTAGGTGGCCACCTCTCCATATGCCAAGTGTGGTGCCTGGGTAGGTGCCTCCATCTTGTGCTCTCTCCCTATGTTCAAGGACATGTGGGTCACAAGTCATGAATATAGGGAAATTGGCCCTTCCGTCATGTGTAGAAGAAACCTCTGACTGGTGGCTTTCAGGTTCCATCACCTAGGCCAACATTACCATGTCCAGACTGAGCCTCAGCCTTATGCAGTAGGTCACAGTTAGAACAAGATTACAGCAAAGCCCCCTTTTTCCTGGAAGACAGTAAAAGTGTGCAACAGGGCTAACTCTGCCTGATGTCTTGGTGGCCCCTGTAGCATCCCAGTGCAGCAGATGCTGGTTCTTCCTGTGTGTTGATCAGGATAACTCAGTGATGCTGCATAACAAGCATTCCCAGCTCCCAGTGCCACAAAGTGGGGTTTGCCTACCTCCCTGCTGCCTATATCCTGGAGTAGGGGTCATCACCCTCACTTAGGACCTTCTGGTTAAGCAGATACCATCTTTAGCATTTTCACTCATTGTGAGTTTCTTACTATATTTTCTGTTGCTATAACAAAATACCTGATACCTGGTAATTTATAAATAACAAGGGTTTATTTAGCTCACAGTTTCAGGAATATGATACCAGCCTCTGTGAGGGTCTTGGACCTCATTAAAACAGTGCAGAACAATGTGGGCAGAGCCAGCAACATGCACGTTTGAGTCTCTTCCTCCTCTTATCAAGTCATTAGTGTTATCAAGAGGCCCATGCTTAGGACGTCATTTAATCCCAGTCACCTTCCAAAGCCTCCAAATACCATTAACATAGATTTGGGCCATCTAAACACCAGTGGCTGAATTTAGGATTCGTCTGCTGGGTCTCACTGGCGATCAGGGGACATGGGATATACATATCACAATGAATAGACACAAGTCACATGAAGCCCCACCCCAACCCCAAGAGGACAGGAAGGAATAGAGTTAAATGGCACAGGGTCTGGGAGGGTGCTAACAGCACTCATTGTGCATGGGGCCTCAACCCTTCAGGGGGCGTGGTCCTCATGGGGTTGCTGTGAGGCCCGTTTCATCAGGTCTGACTGTAGATGCAGGAACAGCAGCCAAGGTAGACTGGATGGAAGCTGTAAAGGTCAACATGAGGACTTGAAATGAGTGAGTGGGAGCACTGGGGATTAAAAACTAAATGTAAGGGAATGCATACAAAGAAGGCAACCCCAGGCTGTAAGATGTGAGTACACACAAGGGAGTCAACCCCAGGCTGTAAGATGTGAGTACACACAAGGGAGTCAACCCCAGGCTGTAAGATGTGAGTACACACAAGGGAGTCAACCCCAGGCTGTAGGATGTGAGTACACACAAGGGAGTCAACCCCAGGCTGTAAGATGTGAGTACACACAAGGGAGTCAACCCCAGGCTGTAAGATGTGAGTACACACAAGGGAGTCAACCCCAGGCTGTAAGATGTGAGTACACACAAGGGAGTCAACCCCAGGCTGTAAGATGTGAGTACACACAAGGGAGTCAACCCCAGGCTGTAGGATGTGAGTACACACAAGGGAGTCAACCCCAGGCTGTAAGATGTGAGTACACACAAGGGAGTCAACCCCAGGCTGTAGGATGTGAATCATTCTGGTCCGGTTTCAGTGTGAGATGTATTTAGAGCTTACTAGTGAATCACAGATATGCACGAGGCACTAGGATCCTGTCCTCCCTAGCTGGCAGCTGTCGCCTGCCCGTCTAGGCTCTCAGTTCATCCCACGGTTGAAAAGTCACAGGCAATCTGCTATGGGACTGAATCCATGGATCATATAGGAGGGCTCATGAGCCCCAGGACATACATTAGATAAGGCTCTGTGTCCTGAACTAACAGGATGGGAACACTGGAAAGATTGTGCCTCCCTGAAGTACTCAGCTGGTGAGGCGTTTAGGGCGCAGAGAAGTGTGATTAGGAGCTTTGAAACGTATTTTGTGCTAACGGCAGTACACCAGCTCTTTCTACCTTTTCTCTAAGCTGATGCCCAACTAACTCTGCAAAGTTAAAAAAATAAACTACTCCAACCTTGCACCTTGTCTCTCATGTGGGTGGGGAAAGATCACTGGCCCCTCACTGTCTGCGACAGATGAGGAAGCTGACTGACCCTTAGTAGCTGCAGCACTCAGGAAACAGGCCCTGGTCCTTGCTTGGGCAGCACAGTAGAGCCGACTGTTGGCATAGGAGCGGGTGAGACAGCCCTGGGGGTGTGAAAGTGAGATAGCTTGCCACATCCCCCCTCACCTGCCATGTGGTGGTGAGGGTGAGGGAAAGTTGCCCTCCCCCCCCTGCCCCTGTCACCTGTGGTAGATGAGGGAGCTGACCTGCCCCCTTACCAGCCTCAGCACTGGTCCTGCACCTTGTCTGGGCAACACAGTGGAGCTGGCCCTGAAGGTGTAGGTGTGGGAGAACTGACTCAAGAACATGAAACCGGAGTACTGGCCCTGCCCCTTGCTCATTGCTGCAAAGGGTGAACTAGCCAGGGCAGTGCAGGAGAGCTCACTCTGGTGGTGAGCACAAGGGAGAGCAGGCAGGCCCAGAATCAGGGCTCTGAGTTGGCCACCCCAACATCCACCCCATCTGTGATCTACTGGAACATGTGGAGGAACCAGCCCTGCACACCCAAACCTTCAGGATCTCCACGGCACAGGGCAACAACGGGATATCCAAGAAGAGTCCCGGTGGGGACCCGGCATCGACAGTGAAGCAGAAGCCAGAGGCCTGGAACAATGACTCTGCAGTGAACACTTGCAAATAAAGATATGTGGGTAAAGGGTTACTGTGCGACTCACCGTGTCACACTACAGCTTCCATGAAGAGACTAATTTGTCCTTTTCTTTTTTCTCTTAAATTTTATTTTATTTTATAGGGCGGGGGTTGCAAGGGCAGATACGAAGGGATGGGAAAATGAATGGGATAGAGATGCATGGTGTGTAAGAATAACTAAAAAGAAAGTTAAAAAAACAAACTGCTCCACTTTCACTCTGAGAGCAGGGAACACAGGTTCTACCTGGACACAGAAGCATCCCTAAAACAGGGGCCAACAGAGTGGCTGCCCAGAGCACGGCTGAGTCTGCCTGAGGCTTCTGTGCTGTGTTATGAGACCCCGGGCCAAGGGAGGCTTGGCACCACTGCAGCTCCTGCACAGTGGGTGACGCCATTTGAGACTGCAGGGGCTTCTAAGGCAGACTCATGGGCAGTCTGCTGCCAGCCAGTCTGATGGCTTGGAGAATCAGACTTGAAGAGATGGCCACTGGTCTGTCTGTCTGCTTCGTGATTGAAGGGACTCCTGACTTCCTGGGGTCTGCAATAAATAAAGCAGCTACCTGCTCATAATCTCTGCTCATAAGATGCCCTGTAACCTTAACAACAGTAGGATATCCTGTAACCTTGACAACCATACACCCTTTTGACTTTCACAGAGGCCCCTTTAACCTTGACTGTACATGTTAGGGAGCCACTTGCTGCTTGCTCCTTTACAAGCCATTTCTGAAAGCCATGAGATCTCACGCCCCACAGTGGTTCTGCCTGGCTCTGGGTGACTGGGTATGCTTCACAGAGTACAAATGTCCATGGCTGGGCTCCAAACTTGCTCTTTTTGTGGAATCCAGGACCAACACTTCCAAACCTCAGATGGGACCTGTCTATCTGATAGAGCTGTGCTGTCACTCATTGGGGGAAAGTCACTGGCATCACACGCCAGCGGACCTTCCCACTGAACTCCATGCTCCAGAGGCACATTCCAGCAGCAGGGCCCTGCCTCTGTGCTCCCTTGCCACACTCTGGGTGTCTGACCCATGTCTGATGCCGTTCTCTCCATAAATATTAGCATCTCTGCAGAGGTGGCCTCTGTGCTATTGGGACCCTCAGACCTTCAGCATCAGATCTCCTGTGGACTTGTTAGAAATGCCTTGCTCCAGGCCACCATTTGGGGCTTTGGGGAGGAGGAACCAAGACCCAAGAGTTTAGTTCCCAGGGGCTCTGCATCTTGAGAAATTGAAGTTGCCAGTTTGGACTGGAATCCCTCAATTTTAGAGCTTACCAGTAGATGCCACCCTAACACTGGTTGCCAGATCCCACTCTGCCCTGAAGGCAAGAATGATGCCGGTCTCAGAGGCACCTTGATGGGGATTGAAGGGATCACCTCTCAGCTTGCTTGCCCATGCCTCTGTGCGGTCATCCTGCCTTGAGGGAGGGGTGGGGAGAGATAAGAAGGGCAGTGTTTAGCATTTAAAGAGGTACCAGGGCTAGAAGAGATCCTGTCCTTGACAAATGTCCAAGGTCAGAAACTCTAGGAAGGGGGTTGTGCTGGAAGCTGAGGACTGGACCTGAACCCCATCAATCCCATCCCACCCCAGGCCCCAGCTTGTACCCTAACACTGTTACCGGGCCCTGGGTGGTCTGCGATGCTGTACTGGGGTTTATTTGGCTTACAGCTTTGGGTTATAGTCCACCAATGCAGGGGAGTAGAGGTGGTTGGCACGGGAAGCAGATGGTCACATGACATCCACAAGAGTAGAGACAGGACTGCACGAGGGCTCAATTACCATTCTCACTGTTGCACAGTTCCTGGCCAGGGAATGGTGGCCCCTACTCCCAGGCTGGGGCTTCCCATGTCAACACAACTAAGACAGTCCCCCACAGACCGTCCACAATCCAGCCTGATCTTGACAACCCCTCATTGAGACTGTCTTTCCAGGTAAAACTATCAAGTTGGCAATCAGAACCAACTATCACACTAAGTATCCTCAGGCAGAGGCAGCTCCATCACACGGGTGTGCTAGATAGGCAGGAGGCTCTGCAGAGCCCATGGGGTCACCCCTCAGTCAGTGGCATCCACTGTGGGTGGTGGTACTGAGGTGGTGCCCACGCTTTACACTTTCAACCTCACTCCATACGGTGCTAAGTGTGAATCACTCTGATCATGCTGCAGTTGGAAACCCCAGCTCTCTCTGTTTTGGGTCCTATTGGGAAGCTGTTGGGGACGTTAGTGACTGTGAGTGGCTGACTGTTGGAAGGCAGTGACTCTCTCTGCCCTCCAAACAGTCTCAAGGTGAACTCGGACCCTGAGAACCCAGATCTCCAGCCACTGCTAGCATGGTCATGGCATGAGTTCTGGCTTCTCTCTTCCCTAGGCACTGCTCAGACATCTATAGGGTCTTTCATGGCATTTCCACAGAGTCATTTCAGGGCAGATTCTGTTTCCTTTCCTTTAAGGACTGACGTGGATCCGGCCTGCTGGGGTGTGACTCTTTCCTGG